ATACTCTCATGGAAATCGGAACTGGCATCCAATTCCTGTACAAACCCAAAACCCACAGGACTTAAGAGAGAAGATAGACAAATGGGACCTTATTAAACTGACAAGCTTCTGCAAAGCCAAAGAAACCATCAAGAGAGCAGGGAGACAGCCTACAGACTGGGAAAAAGTATTTGCCAACTCTAGGTCTGACAAAGGCTTAACATCCTGGATCTACAAGGAACTGAAGCGTACTGAAAAGAAGAAAACAAACAACCCCATTATAAAATGGGCAAAAGACATGAACAGACACTTCACAAAAGAAGACATTCGAGCAGCCAACAAACACATGAAGAAATGCTCAACCTCACTAATCATCAGGGAGATGCAAATCAAAACCACACTGAGATACCACCTAACTCCAGTCAGAATGGCAATTATCAACAACTCAAAAAATAACAGCTGCTGGAGAGGGTGTGGTGAAAAGGGAACACTTCTACACTGTTGGTGGGAGTGTAAACTAGTGCAACCTCTGTGGAAAGCAGTGTGGCGATTCCTAAAAGCTCTAAAAATTGACCTTCCATATGACCCTGCAATCCCCCTACTGGGAATATACCCTGAAGAACACAAATCACTCTATAAAAAAGATACCTGCACACGTATGTTTATCGCAGCATTGTTCACAATAGCAAGAACCTGGAAACAACCATGCTGCCCATCAAAAGAGGACTGGATTTTTAAAATGTGGTACATATACACGATGGAATACTACGCAGCCATAAAAAAGAACAAATCATGAATTTCGCTGCAACCTGATGGAACTAGAGTCTATAATACTGAATGACCTCTCACAAAACAAAAATCCGAATATCACATGTTCTCACTCATATAATGGACCTTGAACATCCAATGCAATACTATGATAAAATGACGAATGGTACTGCGAAACTATGGGGGGGAGGGGGATGGGATTAACAGTAGCAAATATATGTCGGGGGATGGGAAAACACTTCTTATCTACTGGGTGCCTGAATGAAACGTCATTGTACACCTAACCCTTAACTGTACCCCACAAAACCATAATAAAAAATACTGATTAATGAAAAAAAAAAAAACCAAAATGAGATACCAACTCATACCAGTAAGAATGGCTATTACTAAAAAATCTAAAAACAACAGAGGGTGGCAAGGATGCAGAGGGGACATTTTTACACTGTTGGTGGGAATGTAATTTAGTACAAACTCTATGGAAAACAGTATGAAGATTTCTCAAAGAACTAAAAGTAGAACTAACATTTGATCTAGTAATCCCACTTCTGAGTATCTACCCAAAGAAAAATGAGTCATATTAAAAAGACACCTGCACTTGTGTTTATCACATTACTATTCACAGTAGCAAAAGTACGGAATCAACCTAAGTGTCCATCAATGTAGGACTGGATAAAGAAACTGCAGTGTGTGGGGTGGGTGTGTGTGTATAATAGAATACTACTCAGCCATAAAGAATGAAATGATGTCTTTGCAGCAACATGAATGGAACTGGAAATCATTATCCTAAGTAAAATAACTGGGAAACAGGAAGTCAAACATCACAGGTTCTCATTTACAAGTCAGGGCTAATCAGTGTGTATATGTGGACACACAGAGCAGGATAATGGACACTGGAGAAAACAAAACATGGAAGAGTGGAAGGACGGTGAAATTTGAGAATTACCTATTAGGTATGATTTCATTGTTCTGGTGATGGGTAAACCAAAAGCCCAGATGTCACCACTACACAATATATGCATGTAAGAAACCTGTACATGTACCCTCTAAATATATAAAAAATAAAGGAATAAAAAAGAAAAAGCCTGGCATCCCTATCTTAATAGTATATGAGAAACATAGGATACATCTATGTCCAAAGAAAGAGTTGCATGATATATAAAGTCAGAGGACATGTCTTATTCAAATTTTTAATGACAGGGATTGGACATGAGGATAGATTGGCAAATAGAAGCCAAAAAATATACAGACTAGCTTAGTTGAAGAGATAACTTTCTAACAAGCAGAGCTGCCTCATTTGGAGCCCACAGCCCTGAAATGTTGCAAATTCCCCAGCACCAAGAGTGTTTAATCAGATGCTAAACACCACCTGTAGAATGACTGATGAAGGATTCCTACTTCAGATGTGGTCCAGTCCTCATCTAGGTCCTGAGTGAATAGTTCACCAAATTCCCAATGACTCGGGATATAAATTCAGATTTTCATAATCTGCTCTTAAGAAAATTGACTTGGAAACATCATGTCTTTAGGTGAAGTCACCAGGAGGTAAGAGGGTCAGGACTTTGTCAAATTACTAACAAGAGTGAGGACTCTATGAGGGGTCAGCAAAGTCAGCAGGTTCAATTCAAAGGCTACCAGAGGTCACAGGTTCATAAGTCCTAAACAGACTAGAGAGCTGTGTGAGTTACAGGACTTCATTTATTTTTTATTATGCCAGGAAAAAACTAAACATGGACATTCTGGCAGCCCTGCACTTCCTATATTAACCTGTCTCCAACCTCAGCATGTAACTCACCCCATTCTTTCTCCACTGGTCACTCACTCTCATTTTAAACATTCTTCCTCAGGAATAATCCTACAACTCGCTCACGAATCTGCTTGGTCTTGACACCATAGATGATGGGATTGACCATGGGTGGGAAGAGTAGATAGAAATTGGCAAGGAGTATGTGGACGTGAGGTGCAGCATGGCGGGCTACACGGTGCATGATTGAGGAGATGACCACTGGTGTGTAAAAGGATAAGATGGCACCTATGTGAGACACACATGTCCCAAATGCCTTGTAGCGGGCTTCCTGTGAGGCAAGCTGTAGAACTGCCTGAAGAATAAAGTTATAAGACAGGATAACAAAGAACAGGTCCAACACCACAATAAACATGGCCACAGCAATGCCATAGATATTGTTGAAGCAAGTGTCCCCACACGCCAGTCTCACCACAGCCATGTGCTCACAGTAGCAGTGGGCAATCACCGGGCCTCGGCAGTAGTGGAAGCGTCTGAGCAGAAAGGGAAGTGGAGTCATTAGTGTCACAGCCCGGGCCACAGCAGCCATGCCAATCTTGGTGGTAAGGGGCCCGGTCAGGACCGTGGTGTAGTGCAGTGGCTTGCAGATGGCCACATAGCGGTCAAAGGCCATGGCCAGCAGCACTGCTGACTCCATGATGGAGAAGGAGTGCAGAAAGAACATCTGGACCAGACAGGCATAGAAGTTAATCTCCCGATCTCTGAACCAAAAAATAGCAAGCATTTTAGGCAATGTTGAAGAGGAAAGGACCAGATCGATGGCAGCCAGCATGACCAGAAAGAAGTACATGGGCTCATGGAGGGTTGTATCAGCCTGGATAATGAGAAGGAGGGTGCAGTTTCCAAGCAGGGCCAGTACATAGGCCGAGCAGAAGGGGATAGAGAACCAGATGTGCAGGTGCTCCAGGCCTGGGATCCCCATCAACAAGAAGGTAGCTGGGTGGGTTGAAGTAATATTGGAAGCTGACATGGCCGGGGAAATTCTCTTCCTCCTTATCTTCTTCCACAGGGCTTTTCCAGAGAATATCCAATATCAGCAGAATCACTGTGCGTAAGTTCAAATTTGATCACTCATTTGGGAAGATTATCCCTTATCTCTATTTTCAGACCTTAAAAAAAAATAGGGAAAAAAATCCTAATACATATCAAGAAACATTATGTATACTCTTCTCCTCAAGGTGCTTACAAAATCACTGGGTTGTCAGGACTTTTAATACCAATGGAGCTAGTATCATAAAGCAGCCTTATTGAGGAATCAGGTGGAGGAAGCACTTTCTGTGGTGTGCATGAGACCAAAAGCAGCTTTATAAAGGATGTGGATTCCTGCTCGATTCAAATCTTACCCAAAAATATCCACTGACTTTCACTGTCTTCCTATTGCCTGCCAACTCAAGCTACACTCCCAATTATGAGAGTTTCTGCTCTGAAATGTCAAAATTGGTTGTATAAAACATAAATACAGCTGGCACTTTATAAGAATTCACTTCCCAATACTATAAGAAAATGACTGACGGTACTGGGAAACTATGGGGGGGAATGGGATTAACAGTAGCAAATATCTGTCTAGGGATGGGAAAACACCTCTTATCAACAGGGTGCCTGAACGAAACATATTTGTATACCTAACCCTTAACTGTACCCCACAATATCATTATTAATAAAAATAAATGTATTTAAAAAAAAGAGAGAAAAAAAAAGTAATCGCCATATTGTCTCCCAAAGAGAGGTTTTATTAATAGTTATAAAACATTTCCTCACACTCATAGAGAAATGCACTAAGGTATTCTGGAATTTTCATGTCTAGCATTTTACACTAATATTTTGGAGGAATTTGAATGTTTTTATTTATCTTATGACAAAATAATCCAACCATATTTCTAAATATATAGCTTTTTTTGTATTATTTTCCCTGAGTTATGAAGTCACATTTTCATATACAATTGAGTATATTTCTGAATTTTGTTTGTTTATATTGATTTTTCAGGCTATACATACACTAGTTTTGGTTTTTTTTCTTTTCTTTTCTTTTTTTTAGTGATAGTGCCTTACACCATAAAATAAAACAGGACTAGCTGTCCTACACTGATTCCTCCCAATTTATTTTTATATCAGGATCTTCTTGGTTCTTTTTTCTTATTTTCTATTGCAGATTATCTTGATTTAAAAAATAGCTTGTCCAGTTTTGGGGAAATAGAAAATATAATTGCATATCTGTGAGGATTGTATACATTTCATAAAGTAACAGAAAACTGACAGATGATAGATGATTAATAGATAGACACAGATATAGATGGATAGCTATAAATATAGATTTACTATTCAAAACATGTTAAGTTTCTACATTTATTCAAGTCTATCTTTGCGTTTCTCTAGAATGTTTTAAAATTTTGCTCATATATATTTTGTACATGTTATTGTGAAGCATTTTCTTTATCTGTCTTCTATCTATAATATGAAAGGGATCTCTTTCATTTTAGATTTTATCTCATTTTTATTTGTATACAAGAAGATTACTGATTTCATATATTGACTTTATAAGTTACTACTTTATTTCCTACATAAATTCCACTTGGCTTTCCAGAAGTACCATCCTATCATATGCAAATAGATACAGTAGTTCCTCTTTCTTCTAAATTCTTAGTCTTCTAATTAATTTTTCTTATTTAACTTCATTGCTTAATTTCTTCTGTAAAAGATGTTCAGATTTTCTTATGGTTTCAATAACCTTGAGAATATTGAAGATTATTCGTCAGTTATTTTGTAGAATATCCTTTTATGGGTACTTCTCAATGTTTTTGTCATGATTAAAATAGAATGTTGGGTTTTGAGAAAAGGATAAC